ACTTGTCATGGAGGTTCAAAAGGTACATCAAGAGGTTTGCCCAGTTAGCCCAACATGCCATACACAGGGCGCTGTAACAAACCTCAGGTGCTGCATGCAATACGCAACACCAACAAATTACTTCCTTCTTTTTCCCCTCCTGAGCAGCTCAGGATCAGGCAGTTCTTCAGTGCAGGTTGGGCTAAGGTGACCAGAGTCTTCATCCAGATCAGGCCATTCTTACTGCATGCTAAGAAGCCATGACCAGAGTGCAGGTCTCATCTGGTTGTTGAGATCCAGTGAAACATCTGCACACAAGAGGGAATTGTAGGAGACAGAGGTGGGTGGGTCAGCAGTCAAGTGGTAGGACCCATCCATTGCTTCATCCAGCCAGTCAAGCAAAATGCGTGCATGGGTGGTTCAACTGACCACACCAAGCCACACAGCTCCTTTCTCACCAGCAATTGCCACAATGGCTCCATCATCTGGCTTCACTAATGTCAGCTCAAGTGTAGCACTTCCAGTGAGACTGATGGAAGCATTGATGGGCCAATCCAATGGCTCCAGGTCAGAGAGAAGGACATTCTGAGCATGTTTGTACCAATAAACCCAGCTGAATGGGTCACTGGTGAGCTGCTCTGGAGGTGGCCTATTGAAGAGAGAGACAAGATCCTGGTAGGATTTCTTCATGGCCTGGGCATTGTTGAGCTCAGAGAGGGCAGAGAGGGTATCCTTGAGGATGGTGGTATCAAGCTTAGCCAGGAGAAGAGGAAGGGAGAGTCAGAGGGACAGAGGTTGAGGAAGGAATAGGGACCCATCCATGGAGAGGCAGAGGAATGGTAGTCCTTCATGAACATTGCACATCTTCTTCATGGCAGGAGAAGTGGAAGACATGAGGCCTGGAGGTTCCCTGAACACCACAGATATAGGGATCCATCCAGGATTTGATAGCCCAGCACTTGAGAAGGAATATAGGCTCAGGGCAAAGGTGGGGTGCAGAATACCAGTCCTGCAGACCTTGCTTGAAAGCCTTGACTGTGGATTATACTTCATGCCAATCATGAAGGTTGAGAACATCTGGTCAATATCCTTGTGGGTGTGTCACACAGGCAAGAAGGATATGGTGATTGATCAAAACACCTTGTTGAACACCAGCCAGTGGCAGTAGGCCAGCATGTACTTGTTCTTGTTCTCCTGGCTGCAGTTGTTGAACTGTAGGTAGAGAGTTGA